TTCCAAGCCTCCGCCCTCACTCGGGCTCCAAACCTCCGCCCTCACCCGGGCTCCAAACCTCCGCCCTCACCCGGGCTCCAAGCCTCCCCCTCACCGAGAGGCGCCTCGACACAGCCGGGAATGCCATTATCAAGATCGGAGTTGTCGTCGTCTCGTCTTGTCACGCCCTTCGGTGATGGACAGAAGGCCTGTGTATACATATGCTTTAGGTTTATATCGAAGTCCCAGCAAGGTCTAAGTACTGATCTTCCCCAGTTACCTAACTCCCGAATACCCATTTATTGCTAGGTGAAAACAGGGCTTAGGTGAAACTTGCCCAACCATTTACTGCTCCAGTCATATGGAGGTCAGCGGCTGGTGTTAACGATCAACACTCTCCGCTGGTCTGCCGTCTTCTCCTCAACATGTACCTTTTATTGCTCGCGTGAAATCGCAGATGAAGAATGTTCTCAACAAATGAATATTGGAGATGTGAAATCGTCCAACATGAGGGCGGCGAGGAGGGGGAAGAGGGGCAGCGAGGAAGAGAAGAAGGGTGGCGAGGGAGAGAAGAAGGGTGGCAAGGGAGAAAAGAAGGGTGGCAAGAGAGAGAAGAGGGGTGGCAAGGGAGAGAAGAGGGGTGGCAAGGGAGAGAAGAGGGGTGGCGAGGGAGAGGGGATAAGCCCGAGCTGTGGTAGCGAGGGGAGGAAGCAGCTGTGACAGCTACGACAGACAAGGAGTGAAGACATGACCTCCTCGTCATGCCAGCAGGCACTCCACAAGGAGCACCACGCCCAACCACCTCACCTAACTCCCAAGATCTTGACAATCTAAGTGCAGAATTATTCACTACGACAAATCTAAAAACAACAACACTACTACTACGACACACACAGCCCCGCTCCTGTGCCAGGTAAGTCCACTTACGGGCTCACCATAGCCCGTGCTACGTCGAATTTTTGGTTCAGAGTAGCTGAATCTAAATCATCAGCACTACGACACGTCCGTGAAACTCCTCGATTAAACACGCATAAAACTGCCCTATATTCTTATATCAATTGTTCACCTGTGCTATATTTAAGAGCTGTGTAACCCTTCGACGTGACATTGATTTGTCTGTAATAACAGCTATCGCAGACACATGTTAACAGTTCCAAAGCCCAACACCAGGTTTAAAATAGACCTTGAACAGGACATAGACGCACAGTAAAAGCCCGTGTCCGGGCTTCCTCGAGAATTTGGAAAAAAATAACTTTCCACTTGTTTGTAAACTATTAAAAAAAAAATTAAAATTTTAATGTGACCTATTAATAAAACAATGAAACAGTCACTAGGGATCACTAGAATTGAGGATGGAACGATTCGTCCGTCACCTATCCTTTGGACAGACGAGTCGTTGGTGTCGAACGACGAAGATAGAAGTAGATAGCTCTCGGTAGAAGACGAACGGTGTGGTCTTCTACCACGAAGCCTGCTCGGCCACCCTCCGACCGGAAGAATGGCTCTAGCACAAATAATGCGTTTTCATTCTGACATCTGATTGATGATTGATAAAGATTAAACCACCCAAGAGGTGGCACGGGCATGAATAGCCCGTAAAGACATCTGCCTCATTAGTCTCTATAGTTCCCATCTGTCTCCCTTCATTATACTGTTATCTCACGTTAAACGAGGGCTGTCTTAATCTGTCATCTTCAGCGAGGTGAGGTCCAGGGGGCCTCTGCCTGTACACGTAACTCGGCATCTTCACACCAGCCACGATCTTTCTTGAAATTCTGAAACTTTACACGTTTTCTTTTAAGATAAGGATTCACTGCTGGCGCTGCACACACTGATATGGGACCCTCCCTCATGTATCAGCTTGCCTGCAGCATCCCGCCCTTTATCTCAAGTAGCCATCATCTCCCACACAGCCTCACCCCACATGCTCCATACCCCCCCCCCCCTGCTCTGCATACACACTCCCTTTTGTGACTAACACTAAAGTTCATCATAAGAACAAGGTAACTGCAGAAGGCCTATTGGCCCATACGAGGCAGCTCCTATCTATAACCACCCAATCCCACTCAAACATGTCATAAACATTATCAGGAATTTCCTTTATGTTTCATTGAAACTGCAAGCTGAGAGCTGCTTTCCTGCATCATTTCATCTGAAGCCTAACCCAAGGAACTCATTGATGAGCTTAAGTTGCTTTTTTTCCCATTATGAATAAACTTTTAATAGTGGTAAGTAACGGCCGTATTAGCAACAGGATGAAGTTGGAGTCGACTGTGTACCATAGCCTTCACATGGTCAGTTGACTATTTCACGTGTATCTACAGGTTGAGCGAACAAGTTCCAAATGTGATGCTGTCAAGGCATGAATGACGCTGAAGGGGTGATGTTCTAGAGCCTCATGCTGCACACCCAGAATGAGGCTGTTGACAACTGAGCGCCTTGTGTTGTGGCTGCTCACTTCTGGTTGTCAACAAACTTTGTCCAGATGGGAAATAATGAGAATAGTGGCCTTGAACAGTAAGTCCGACAACATATATCTGGTGCTGAAGGCTCTGGTGTACTGACCAGTCAAACGGGTCAAGATTGTGATTAAATCTTCTCGCAGGGTTTTCTACCTTCTCTTAAGACACTGAAAATGATGCGCGGACGGGCGGGGGGGATGGGAAGGGCAGTAGGTAATACATACTCAAGATGGTAGCGAATTTGTTTCATATAAGGCTTTGCAATCTTTTAGCTTGCAGCATCTTCCGATGATGAAAATATATATATATATAAATATAATTTTTACACAAATCCGCCATAGCAGCAAGGACAGGGAGGAAGAGGTGCTGGCCTACCAGTCACCGAAGAGTTGAGCGCCGTTTCCTTGGCAGGGTAACACCGCTCAGTAGTGAACAAGCTACAATATCATCATTGTATATTTAGAGCAGGCTTTGATAGCCAATACTTAGCTCACCTGTAACATACAGTGACACGTTACGCAAAATAAATACAACAAATTAAAAAAAAAATTGAATACAGCTAAAACAGTAAAAGTTTCTACATCCTTCACTAATGACCACAGCCAAATGTAACTACCAAATTCAGAGTAAAAACAAGAAAATCTACGTTTTGTGCTATCGATTTTGTGGAGCACGATAAAGCAAGCTCCCGAGTATCCTAACCTCTTCAGATACTGCGTCACAATATCCTAGCTACAAATTACACAACCAACCCACACATTTAAAAATAAGTCAAGGTGAATTACCTCTCCCAAGCCTAGTATTGTATTTACATGTCCTAGATTACGGTTAAAACTAAGTACATTAGACTTGGGCGAGATTAAGCAATGTTATTGCAGATTTGTAATGCCCATTAGAATTCAACCAGAAAAAAAACGTGAACCTTAATGGGTGCAAGAGTCGCTACAGAATTTTGTGGATTGATACTAGACCATATAAAATGCCTCATATTAATTATAATTTACTGCAAGACATTACTGAGGCGCACATGAAGGCACATGACGATAACATGCGGGAAGGAGCCTGTCTGCTCATGCCTGTGAGAAAGCCGTGACTGTAGCACTGAGCCACCAAGAGCAAGGTTCCACGCGCCAGCGATCACTCAACACAGATGGGGTCAAATTCATAAATGGTGAAATTAACCTGGTCTAGATTAATAACGAGGCAGCCAGAGACGGCCATAAGCAGGTGTAATCCCCCCTCGTCGTACGCCACGAGGGGTCGAGGCTTCTTCCTCCCTCACACCCTCGTACATCACAAGCGGAGGCTTCATTCCCCCTCCCATTCCCTCGTACACCACGAGGGGAGGCTTCCTCTTCTCCTACACCCTCGTACATCACGAGGGGAGGCTTCCTCTTCTCCCACACCCTCGTACATCATGAGGGGAGGCTTCCTCTTCTCCCACACCCTCGTACATCATGAGGGGAGGCTTCCTCTTCTCCCACACCCTCGTACACCACGAGGGGAGGCTTCCTCTTCTCCCACACCCTCGTACACCACGAGGGGAGGCTTCCTCTTCTCCCACACCCTCGTACACCACGAGGGGAGGCATTCCTCTTCTCCCATACCCTCGTACACCACGAGGGGAGGCTTCCTCTTCTCCCACACCCTCGTACATCATGAGGGGAGGCTTCCTCTTCTCCCACACCCTCGTACACCACGAGGGGAGGCTTCCTCTTCTCCCATACCCTCGTACACCACGAGGGGAGGCTTCCTCTTCTCCCTGTATAATGTACTTCAGGAGGGGGAAGTGTAAAATAACAGAGTTTAGGGGAATGCGGAACCTGGGAAGCTCACATTGTACGAGTGGAACCGAGATAGCACCAGTAACACACACGAACGATACTATGAAAAAAAGTTTGGAGGGAAGATAACCTAACAACTTCAAGAGAAGCTGCAATATATATAACATACCGAGGGGGTCACACAAGATGGACCCGGACAACTATCTGAATGCCAGATAACAGGACAAGTCTGGAGGTTAGAAACGCTCGAGTCAAAAGACGCAAAAATAACCTTGAGTGCCCGTTGTTAGCGTTACACTTCAAGCCATCCCCCCATCTATTCTCAAGTGAAAGTACGACGCTGAACTAGACCGTAGTGATATTTAAAAGGATCAAATAGTATAAGATGACGGAGGCGGAGCCCCATGACCTAGATAGTACACACACTGGTAGGTAAGCACGCATGCGCAGACATGCACGCGTGCACACATCATGCTCACACAGTAGACATGGGATGGTCAAATCATTAGCCAACAGCTAACCAGTCTTAGTTCAGGAGCTAGCGTCTGACCCTGAAATGTCTTTGATGCGAGTAGAAACAGGTGTGCACACACATGCGTGCATGATTCATATAGCTGACTTAAAATAGATAAAATGAAGGCCCTGTAAGTCATTCCCAACAACTATTTCACGCGATTACACTCCAAAATATTAAAGTTAAAAGGATTATAACAGCTACTATCTGAATGTTTTATTTAGCTGTACGTCCGACATTAAAATAAGTGAAGCAGCTTACCTTCATGTCAGTGATGGTGACGGCATTGTCCTGAACATGGACGACATGGCGCCCACCTCTCGACGCCTCCCTGGAACACAACACTCGTCAACACTCTCCTTAATTTGGTTCATTGTTACTACCTCACTATATAACCAGTGTTAGTACATTATATTTAACAATTAAAAGACATGTAAGCATCATTAGCTCCAAGGGAAAACACTCCCATATCTGCCAAATATGGAGGACTACCTTGTCCATTGTAGACACGAGCGTCCGTGAACATGGACCGGGATTAATGATCCCGGTTTGTAAAAACCAAACCCGCTTCATTTTGCAGTAATGACATCTTCATATATATGTGTGTGTCAGGCTCAAAGAATCAAGGGGGACGGTATTACATGCCGCGTGCCAGCAAAATTGCTCTAATGCCACCCTGGGCATGCATGCCATAGCCTTGCCATCCTTGGCCTTGATGAACCTTGATAAGTCTAATGGGCTTCTTGTCTCTGGAGAATGGAAAACTTATGTTCTTAAATCCGCTCATACGTTTTGGCAAGTTTCACCTACATGTACTTTCGCGTAATGACAAGGCACCGTGGTTTTGTCAAGGATACAATTAAACAATGAGAGAATCTCCACCAAGTTAGTATAACTACTGCTGGCGGCTTCCACACTTTGATTCAAAATTTAAAAAAATGATAGAGGTGCTAATACAATTAATATTAGTACTGTATTACCCTACTCACATCCTTCCCACTCCCAGGAGATCAACTGGCAACATAAATGGAGTTCAAATTGTATTCATTAGATTTAATGAGCGTGCATCTTACACAAGTATTTATAAATTCACTATTATTTAAGGTAAAATATACCAGACAGCATCGGGTTTCTCAATTCATTTTTGGAAGGAATTATATTATAAACTGGGGAAAATATTAATGAACCAGTAATACTTACATTCAAAGCTGATTGACTTGGCATATTCAGATCAAGACACTACTTCAAAATAGCCTACATAAACTACTTATAATATGTATTATATATATTTACTACCAGCGTATAGCTTTAATTTTTACGAATTCATTTGTCATGCATATATATATATATATATATATATATATATATATATATATATATATATATATATATATATATATATATATATATATATATATATATATATATATATATATGAAAACTATCCCCCAAAAGACCTTTAGCCACTATGGATGGAATGTACACAATATGGACGCGGTTGCAGCCAACAAAGTCAACGTTTTGTACCTATTGGAAATGTAGAGGGCATAGTAAAAAACCTAACAATAAACTTAAACTATGTGGATTGACTTGGAATGGCGAGGTTATGAACAGTGGAATTTATTTTTTGGAATTTATTAAAATTTATAAATTTATAAATTTATTATTTATTAAAATTTATAAATTTATTATTTATTAAAAAACTTAAAATTTATAAATTTATTATTTATTAAAATTTATAAATTTATTATTTATTAAAATTTATATATTTATTATTCAAATTTATAAATTTATTATTTATTCAAATTTATAAATTTATTATTTATTCAAATTTATAAATTTATTATTTATTCAAATTTATAAATTTATTATTTATTCAAATTTATAAATTTATTATTTATTAAAATTTATTATTTATTAAAATTTATTATGTATTAAAATTTATTATGTATTAAAATTTATTATGTATTAAAATTTATTATTTATTAAAATTTATTATTTATTAAAATTTATTATTTATTAAAATTTATTATTTATTAAAATTTATTATTTATTAAAATTTATTATTTATTAAAATTTATTATTTATTAAAATTTATTATTTATTAAAATTTATTATTTATTAAAATTTATTATTTATTAAAATTTATTATTTATTAAAATTTATTATTTATTAAAATTTATTATTTATTAAAATTTAAATTTCTTTATTAAATTTACTTGGAATTTATTAAAATATGTTCGGTTTAATTTAAGCTGAATAAATGTAAGCTAGATTATGAAAATATTTGAATGTAGCTAAGTAAGGAAGGGTTAGATTACTCTAATGTTAGGTTGGGATATTTAGACTAAAGCAGGGTAAGGTCTAAAGGGTCTAAGGTCTAAAGCAGGGTAAGGTCCCTTCTAGCAAATTAGAATAGGTTAGAGTCAGTCAAGCCGAGTATACCGTTGAAAAGCTAGGTGTATATTTAAAATAAATCTATAAATTTATATACGAATACATATAGAATATAAATAGTCCGTGTCATTTGAAGTAGGCGGCCAGACGATTTGGGGCTAGATTCGCCCAACTTTCAACTTGAAGTATTGAGTATGTGTCATAGTATAATGTATGACACTTACTCCAAACATGTGGAGTATGTGTCATAGGCCAGTAGGGGTCGGCACAAGTGCCATGCTTCATGAAATCTCGGCATCTACAGCAACCCCAACCCCCTGCGATTTTAAGTCAAATAAAATTTGGGGTTGTTTTCCTTAGTTTTGATGTTTACTCCCGCCGTTGCCCCATGCCTGATGTACATGGTTTACTTAAAAACGATGACCGTGAATTGAATCGGGTTACAGTAATTCATATTGAGGCACAGACACCGTGCACGTCAGGGGCACTAAAATCACAAAGACAAAAGATTATGAGAGTGCACTAAAGCCATCAAACAATGCAACACCATCTAATAGAATCAAGGAAATATGGGCGACGTTAGAAAAACAGCAGCCTCATGGCAACTCCATACGCCTCAAATAGGCCTACTTCTCTCTAGGAAAATTCAACGTAAAATTCAACACAAATTCAAATTTCAACACGGTATAACTATTGAGGGCGACATAAATCAACGCCAGCAACATCTCTCGACTCTAACAACCAACGAAACTGGGGTTAGGCTACACACTGTCGACGCCCACATGACTCCACCAGTCATGCGTACTAATGAAATATTCAAAACCCTATTTCCCTACGAGGTCGGTGATGAATGATAACGACGGACATTAAGCACGCAGGTGCCACAGAGGCGGACTTACTGCGAACCTTTAAGCTGCAAGACACTAGTTACATGTAACATCACTACTAGGCTACTACAGGCAGGTAGGCTGACTAAATTGCCAAATTTGTGGTTTGTATTTTAATAATACGTTATTAAAATTAATGGTTAAATGAGTAAATTTACATACTGTAAACATGTTCTAGCTCGGCTTGTGAGGGATGAGCTTCAGTTTTTTGTTCCCACCTCAAAGCTTTAAACGACTATAGTTATCGAACCCTGTTATTATATGGCAACGACTTCTCTCCCAGTAATTTGAGGTTTAATGTCTTTACTGTGCTGGTAATTCGTACATTTCGGGGTTATTATCCTGATCAACCACAGCATATATCTTGGTTAACCAGGATAAATACCTCGGGCTGTACACAAGACGCCAGCCTCAGCGTATCAGGAATGTGTCTTCAGTAGCTTCATGTAATTATTTAATTACGAGTGTTACTTATAAGTTACCAGGGGTAGGAAGATGAAGTGAAAGGAGAAATATTCAAACTATTCCAGATTCTTATTAATACCAAATAACTATGAATCTCTGGAAAAAGTACGGTTTGCCACTCAGAATTGCATATACTGCAATGTTTCCCATATACACTTACGCCTTCCACAGACAACCAACCAATGGTAAGCAGGCGAGGAGTCACAATAACGAGTTTGAAAAATGTAGACCAAACCACACACTAGAAAGTGAAGGGACGACGACGTTTCGGTCCGTCCTGGACCATTCTCAAGTCGATTGTGACCATTCTCAAGTCAAGACAATCTACTTGAGAATGGTCCAGGACGGACCGAAACGTCGTCGTCCCTTCACTTTCTAGTGTGTGGTTTGGTCAACAACCAATGGTAAGGGAAGACCCACTTTTATTCGCCGCTCCACCGCCCAAAACAAGCCGTAATCAAACCAGTCTACAACGAGGGTAGAACTAGCCTAAGCTGCTCTATCCTTTTGAGATGTACTTCCTTTTCCCAATAAACTTACTTGTACTTGAATCAGACCAGTTGGTACTGTCACAGGTCGCGGTCGTCTGCATGTTTACAAACAATTCTCATACGACTAGGAGAAATTTGCGTTGTCGTATTTACAGTTGTGTTGTCGTACTTACAGTTCACAAGAGATACATTCTTTACGTTTCAAAAGTACTGGATAGATTTATCAGAATTTATCTCACCCCTATTATTTCTCTAGTGGCCTTGACGAGGACAGGAAGTCCGTGGCTTGTCAAAGGTTCTCCCCCCCCACTCATCCGATTTTCCTGATAATTTTGAAATTCAGCAGATTTGAGGATTTATGACTTCAGCTGCTGGTAGTTCTCTGGATTTATAACTATGGGTGAAAAAGCATCTATTTTTCGCTCTGCATTGTGCCTTGTTGAGCTTGAACCCGTTGCTCCTTGTTTGTTACAACTGACCTTTAGAAGAAGTGGTCTGAATCATATCCTCCAAATTGTCCAGCATTTTAAAAGTGTCTTAGGGATCCGTCCCATCATGTCTGGTTTGCAGTGTTAGGCCCTGTGGCTCTCAACCGTTTCTGCTATTAGGAGTCGATTTAGTTCTGGAATGATTTTAGTCGCCCTTTTAGTTAAAGTTTCTCCAATTAAAATACATCCTTCTGAAGATGAGGTCTCTATGTTTGAATACAATAATCCAAGTGGGGGTCCAGACCAGAGCTCTATACAGTTGCATAACTACCTTCTTTACTTTGATGTCAAAATTTCGTTTGACTATTTCAAGCATTTGCTTTGCTATTTTTAACTGCAGCTTCCACCTGTGCATTCTAAAGTCAAGCACAGGTGACGAGGCCGAGGGCCAATATGCGTTAAGTGTTGGCGACACCTGGCCAATAATTTACCTGAGGGCCTCTCTCTCTCTAGTGTCCTCGACAATGTTAACAAGCCGGCGACTTGTCAAAGTTCCTCCCCATTTGTCCTGATGATTTTACACAAAACTGAAAAGTCACTTTTACGGTGCTTTCGGCTTTTACGAATTAGTTTTTTTTAACTGATTGGTCGATAACATAAAAAATGGGAGGTAGTAATAATTAGGCAAGAGGACGAGTTGCAGCCAAATCACGAAATCAGAATTTAGCATTCGGGATTATGACACCAATTTTTCGGTGTCCTCCCATGATGAGTTACTAGTAGGTCACCGAGTAACGCCTACAATCAAGAATACACTACTTTAGTTTATATATATATATATATATATATATATATATATATATATATATATATATATATATATATATATATATATATATATATATATATATATATTGCATAACAATTCTTTCATATTAGGCTTTATGTACTTATTATAATAGGGTCTCGCAAATACAGTTGCCTTCTTAATCGACTCAAAAAGGGAAATCCCGGGTGGGACAGAAATGGTTGGATAAGTTTCCTTTCACCTAATTCTACTGTTCACCCAGCAGTCAATAAGTACCCCTATTGACTGTAGGTAGGCACTAATTGTCGGGGTTGCAGCATGGAGAAAGGTCAGTAGTTCGGCTTTTGGGGGACATATAAGCCTAAAGAGATATATATAATATATATACAAGCATCGTTGAATGCGGAAACTATGGATAACAACATAACCATCTATATAGGCCAATGGACCATGACAAAACAATTAGAGGAGGGGTTCTCAACTTTACTATTACAGACCCCCAATGGCTTACGGAATATAGTTAATAACATGACTTCAAAAGATGTCAATAGCTTGGTTTTAATTGACAAGATGAAATCAAATATGGATTTTATAACAGAAAACAGCCAATCACAAATGTAAGAGCTAGTAACAACTATGAGAATTTGGTTTTTGTGCACTGAACCACTGAATTAGGGACTTAATCCTCTCCCCGACAATTTAAGGTATAGGTTCATTTGTATAGAAGCATCTATTGCACTTTTTTTTTTTTGCATAACGCAGGAAGCAAAAGATTGAATACTTAGATAATGACTAAAAGAGTCGCTGGCAAAGTATTGTACCGTTGAAACAGTTACCAAGTTCTATGAGACTAACAAGCGTACTTGCTCGAGTGATTACCGACCCTCCAGCACACAGTTTAGTTAGTTTAGTTCATTTATTATGCACCCCATACCCATCTTGTGGGCGGTAGTGGAAAGGGTTACAGAGGCACATAATGGGGTCCAGCACACATTAACGGCCCTAGAAACCTGCAGGGGATCAGCGCCAACCATTAACAACTTTGAAGTGCCAGAGAACTATGCTGTCAAGTGAACGTGACACGGCTCGCAACACATACAACCAAACCAGTGGGTGTAAAAAAAAAAAAAACTCGCCGAAATCAATTTTTTCTTGACTCCATATAGGCCTATTCACCAAAACACTAATATATCTAAATTACACTTACTTTTGACTCATAGGTCGCACACGCACGGCCACCTTTATATTCGCCATGATTTTGCTCCTTATGTTTCTAAGAGTTACGTCACCCTGTATCTATCAAGTCAACTATGGTTATCATTGTTAGAGCGAGGTAGAGCACATGTGAGGGAGCCCGGGACGACACCACCGCACGCATCCACCACCCGCACACTTGTGACGCCGTCCGCTCCTGGGACCCTCCGCCGCTTCCCACCATGCCACTTGCCCTCAACTCTCATTATTATTCTTACAATCATTATACAATAATGATCAGCTGCTCAATAGACAAATCGAAGGAATGTTTGAAATTATGTTGCTGTCGGAGATTTAATTCAAGAATAGTCGCTTCGTAATTTTGGGAGGAATCACTTAAAATCTTGGTATTCATATAACCAGCAACTCATTTGCTTCCAATGTATTCATTTTCTTTTCAACAACGTTACATCGTTTTCTTGATATCGTTATAGCAGACTATTATAAATAATTTCCATTGTCGGGGGGGGGGGGCAGGAATCTTCTACGTAGCCTAATCAGGGTTCCACTAGGTTAACTACTGACCTTTCCCAGGATGAAACCTACAAAAGAAGGTAGTTAATTTAACTGTATGCCATGTAAAATAATCCACTTGCATTATTGTATCCAAGGATGGAGACCTATTCTTCAGAAGGACAATTACCTGCACTGGAGAAAGTGCAACACCGGGCAACAAAAATCATTCCACAACCAAGTCAACTTTATGTCAGGAATGGTTGAGGGTCACAGGGCTAACAGCACTGTAAACCAGGCATAACAGGGCGGATCTCATTGAAACTTTTAAAATACTGAACAATTTACTTGAGGGGGCCACTATCTCTCTAGTGGCCTCGACGAGGCAGGAAGCCGGCGGCTTATCAAAGACCCACCCATTTGTCCTGATGATTTTATCGAACTGGATCTTAAAATTTAAGTTTTATCATTTATGCTTTAGGCGGGTAGGCTGTTCCATAGGTTTATAACCCTGTGTGAAAAATCATCTCTTGCAATATTCTTCCCACACATTGTGACTTGTTGAGCTTTAAACCGTTGCTCCTTGATTGAAGAAGTTGTCTGGATCAACATCTTCCAAATTGTTCAGTATTTTAAGTTTCATTGAGATCAGCCCTAATGTCTAGTGTCTAAGTGTTGTTATTTATCTCCGAGGCCCTCAAGTGTTTCTGGTGTGAAAGTTGACTTAGTTCTCGAATTATTTTTGTTGGCCGGTGTTAAACTTTCTCCTAAGAAGCCAAGTCTTTTTGAAGATGAGGTCTCTATGCTTGGATACAATAATCAAAGTGGAGGTGCACTAGTGATTTATAGAATTGAATCACTTCCTTCTTTTCGACGCCCACGTGAGCCAAAGGTAAGCTTCATTATTTCTAGGTTTGTTTACTTTTTTTCTTTTCTGCTGCTCCCACCTGTTGTACAACTTTCAGTGAATGGCGGATCCTGACTCCAAGGTCCTTTTATTTACCAATCTGCCCTATGGCAATGTTATCAATTACTGGAGAGGGGCGAACTGCTGATCCTCCCCAGTTCAAGTTTAAGTATGTTTATGGAGACAAGAAAAAATACATCTCAAAGGGATACAGCAGCTTAGGCTATTTCTACCCCCCCCCATCCTCTCCCCAGGATGCAACCCCACAACAAACTAACAAGTAAGCAATTATCAAAAGAAGGCACCAAGCCGGGAGACTATGTGGCACCATCAAAGTTGCATGATGTTCAAAAGGCGCTAGATATCACCAAGGATGCCAATACGAGAACAAAAGTACATAAGGCGAGTGATGTCAAAGGTATCTGATCAATCAAGGATTCTATTGAGGTCAGGACATTCAACAAGTGTATGACGACTGTCAGAGGGACCATACAGCTCAGAAATTGAGGAGCAGAGCGGTGCTGCTTTAAATAGTGCCCTTGCTGAGATACCAACTCTAATTTACAAAAAAAACTCCAGATTTTTAACTCCTGCCATTGCATTGCTGTACAACAAGTCACTTGAACTCGACACCTTTCTTGATATTCTAAAAAAAAAGCAAGAGTAACCCCTGTCCATAAATGTGGTGATCTCACTGATGTCAACAACTTCAGACCTATATCAATTCTGTCAAATTTGTCGAAAATATTTGAAAAACTAATCTACAAGCAGCTTTACTCTTATCTAGACAAACACAATATACTTGGCTCTTGCCAATATGGCTTCAGACCCAAAAAAACACCAACGATGCAGTTATTAGTATGATTAACTTGATACATGCAGGTCTTGATAAAAAATGAGTTCCCTGTTGGGTTATTTGTTAACCTACATAAGGCTTTTGATACTGTCAACCACCAAAACCTTCTTCTTAAATTAGATCATTATGGAGTCAGAGGTCACTCCCTCCAATATCTTTAGTCTTACCTTACTGACAGGCTCCAGTATGTTTCTGTGAATAATTCCATTTCTCCCACTCTACCCATCAACATTGGTGTTCCTCGGGACAGCATACTGGGCCCTCTCCTTTCCTACATACATTAATGACCTTCCACATGCCTCTCAAATCCTCAAACCAATTCTATTTGCTGATGATACAACCTTCATTTTCTCCAGTCCTAACCTTCAGTCTACCTGTTAACTACCATGGGGTAGGTAGGTAGATTACCCGATGTCATTCAGTAACCTGGCTGGAATGCCAAGTGACCTAGATTGCTGTCAGAGTTTGGTACACAATACCTCAGACTAGACTTTGGCTTAATTACACCAAAGGAATACTAGGGTACAAATTAGCAGGCACTTACATTCTATAGGTATTGCCATACATGGGCCAACAAGCCTTCTGCAGTTTCCTTAATTCATATGTTCTTATTATAGATTAATTGCAACTCTCTTCATTATGTGTTTTTATAAATAAAGATAATCATTATCATTATAAATTTTATTTAGAACCTAAACTACAGGATTTTTTTTCAACTAAAAGCTTATTATAGAAATCTGTACAGAATGTAAAAAAAAAATCTTAATAATTAATTTCGAGATTACATGAACATATTGTTATGCATAACTTTTTTTTTTAATATATACATGACTTCAAGGGATGAGGAACATCCTAACCTCCACCTGTAAAAAAATTACAATAAAATAAAATAGAACAAATGTATTACTTATAAATAATATAGTACTGTAGTGACTAGAATGACACTTCATAACACATGTGCAACTGATATAAAATATTTACATATATTTACAAATATGCACAATAAATGAACAGCTAAACAAATAGTTCAAACACAAAAGATATAAGATTGGAATGGTAGAACATGACTTAAACAATGTCACAAAGCTATCTTTAGAGACAAACATCACTATGTAATTTAAAACATGTTTTCCATATTAAGACTATTTAACCTCAGTCCACTGTAAACAGAAATGTATCCCAAAAGTGCTCATTAACAGTATTAGGTAACAAATAGCTAGTCAGAACAGAGTGAACACCTTGGGCACAGGCTTTAACTGCAGCATAATCAGCAAGATGGTTAATTCTTAGTATTATTTCATCTCGCCAATTACATTCATAGTTCATCTACTGATGCTAGAAAGAGTTAGATAAGCTTCACTAATTGCACATTAAAACTTTTTAGAATAAAAAAGTTTTATGTGCAGTGAAGAAGTCTGTGATTCACAGAACATTCACATAGTTTGTGTTGACATGAATGGGTTCATTTGTGTCCTTTTTTTAAATCTATAGTACTGTATAGATCAAATTTTATGTTTTATTTTAATATGCTAAAAACATATTACAATGTTTACATGATGCATAGTACACTGGTACTGTACTGTAAATGTGTTAATGCCTCTGATCACTTTCATTAAAATACAATAGCAAACCAATGATTATTCTTTTAAATTCAGTTATGCAGATACTCTACATGGTCGATCATATTTAAACTTTTCATGATAATACTTTTCCTCAGTTACAAGGTAACTAATGGATAAATGAATGTACATTTAGTATTTTTATCCAATATCATTATTCAATCCAACTACTTTATGTATTTTGTTCACATTCACATCATAACACACAGGTTATTATGAAAATAATGTTCTTACATGAAAAATAAAAATACATTTATTTGTGATCCTATATAACTTAGGATTGCTTTTGCATCCCCTCAGATCCTAAGCTTAATGAGGTAAACATATAAACGTACAGTATAAAGTAAATGCAGTGATCTTCAGGGATGTCCATAGTTGGACGAGTTGAGCACTATCATACACACACACGGTTGCCTCTGTTGTATTTAGAATCATTTGTAAAATAGTGAGACACAATGTACAGGGATTATGTTAATCCAGAGTTAATCTTGACAATTTTAGAAATGCTATATAAAACACGTGAACTCAAGTTACACGGGGTTCCTACTTGAAATTGTGAAACAGGGGGTTTCTCCCTTTCTTTTGTTTGCCTATGTCATTATGACACAATGGTTGCAAGAGAAACAGGACAAATAAAAAGTGAGAAATAATGACCCTTAGAGAAAAATGGCTTAATGAAAATTTTGAACAATCAACAAATTTTCATAAATTTATGATAATTTGATATACTGTAATCAAAATGCAAAAATTACATTGGCATTACAAAGAAGAAAAATAAAACTACTAAATTTTATGAATGAAATAGTTGTGACTGGTAAACATGATATCCCAGCTGTTAAAGAAGAAATGCAAAATGTGTTTTTATTTATTTATATTAACAGTGTCCTAGTTGCTAAGGAAATTCAACAGAATGTCAAGATTTGCTAGGGGCTGATATACAGGACAAAACAAAGTTTTTGAAGTGATCGTAATTAATGTTCCTTTACCTGTATGAAACTTTCATTAAAACAATGACTGTGTAAAACCTTTTTTCATGTTAACCAGCAATCTTAAAATCAATGTACAATGTGAAACGTACATTTCATTGGTTATATAGAAATAAAATAATAAAACTGTCACTGAGCACATTAGCAAACAGTGGATTTGAAAGGCTACTGGATGACTTTCTTTCTATGCAAAATCCAAGCTCCTGCAAAATGGCTTAAGCATCCACTGAGAAATCCAAGTACTCCCCAACACCAGACAGATCTGCAAAACTAAGCCGAGCAGCAACATTTGTGGCACGGGCAAGAATGCTAACTGAGAGACCAAAATATAACCCAACCAGGTACGTACCTGTGAGGGAACCAACTAGGGCTTCCACCAGGTGACCAAGAGCAAACAGAGCCTGGTCATCCTAGAAGGAACCAGACCCCTGGCATGTAGACAACAGACTGGTTGGGAGCCCAATCCAGCTAGTCACTAAGATAAGACAAGAAGCGGACTTCCACTAACTGAAGATGAGAAACCAAGACCCTCTTCAACCATTGGAAAAATCTGGAGAGAGAGATTCAAAGCAAAGATAAGAACCCAGAAGCAGTAACAGATGCCCCAACAAAAATCAAAATCAGTCCCTGAAGCTGAAGCTAGGAAGCATTAGGTTAGGATGTGCCAAGGAACCTTCCACAGGGTCAGGAACACCTGTCATGCCAAAAGGACCAGAAAAAAGATGGTCATGTAAAAAATATGGCAAAAAATGATGGGATGCAAACCAGAGAGGCTGAGAGCAGACCACAGGACCAGCAAGTCCTGTGGCCCACATGGAAACCAGTAACTGACAAGATATCTGCTGTGGATGAAGTCTAACATGACCATCCTGGCTTCCAACTAACTTGCAATGACAAAATGGTGTTGCAGGGTAGACCCACAATGCAAAAAGAAGGGGATGAAGACAACCCTTATAGCAGGCTTTTCATATAACAAATTATATGAAAAGATATTAAGGAACCCAGACAAAGAAAGAGATCTAGAACTGGTTTATAGCATAGTCTTCCTTCATAATGCCTTTTTACAGTATGTGGTCCTCTGGTACTTAAACCAGAGGATCACATACTGTAAAAGATATTATGAAGGAAGACTATGCTATACTTTCAAACAACAGAATTGCTTTTAAATACTGTACATGGACACTGAAATACTAAAGAAATTGCTTACAACATTTGTGAGACTGAAATTCGAATATGCAAGAGATTTATGGTGCCCATATCTCATGAAGCACGTCAATAAATTAGAAAGGATGCAAAGATATCCTACTAAATGGCTTCCAGAATTGAAAAATAGGAGTTACGAGGAGAGGCTGGAGGTGCTAAATATGCCCTAACAAGAAGATAGAAAAGAGGCGGTAAGATCATTAACCCTTCCACGGCGTATCACATCTGGAGCCAAGCCGTGCAGGCCAATTATCTGCAAACTGCACATAATGGCTGGAGTTGTTTTAAAGTACTCATAAGATTTAAAAGTCTTGCACATACACATAACTCACATTGCTTCCTCAGGCCTCCAGTAACCATCCCCCATCTTAAAAAAAATTCCAACCTCCCTCAGTTTCGTTCTAAGGTCTTCGTAACAAGACGAGAATCATGTCTGACACTTCAACATCCAGTGTCTGGATGTGCAAAATGGCCATACTAGGAGCCCTAGAACTTTTAACAATGGCAAATGAGTAATTACCATGTATATTTACAGGGAAAATGTATGCTATATGCAAGCACTGTACTGTCAAGGAACCAGTCGGCCGAGCGGACAGCACGCTGGACTTGTGATCCTGTGGTCCTGGGTTCAATCCCAGGCGCCAGCGAGAAACAATGGGCAGAGTTTCTTTGACCCTATGCCCCTGTTACCTAGCAGTAAAATAGGTACCTGGGTGTAAGTCAGCTGTCACGGGCTGTTTCCTGGGGGTGGAGGCCTGGTCGAGGACTGGGCCGCGGGGGACACTAAAAAGCCCCGAAATCATCTCAAGATAACCTCAAGATATAAGATTTAGGCTTATACATATATATACAGTATTATAAATTGTCAATCACACTATCGTGGAAATAAAATTTGATTTAATTAGGTACTAGGAGACTCGAACAGCCGACCCCATGATGTGAGGCAGAAACTCTTCCACTGAGCAATCGGGAGGTCCAATAGGAAAGATTTCAGAGGCAGGAAACCCCTGCCCAACAGAGATTTTATACTTTCCCCGCCTCCCTCTAAATCACAAGAGGAAATTAATGATCTATGCCTATGTCATATAAATTGTCAACCACACTATTTTGGAAATAAACATTTCATTCACTTAGGCACTAGGAGACTCGAACTGACAACCCCATGGTGTGGAAGGGCTTCTGCCTCACACCGTGGGGTTGGCGGTTTGAGTCTTCTGGTGCATAAGTGAATGAAATACTGTACTGTATATATTAGTAAGAACAGATATATGGTGTGTATATTTATGCACATATATACTGCATATACTGTACTGTACTTATATTTTCAAAGTAATACATAATGGATACCACCTTTGACACATTAATATGACTTGTTAGTATGAAAAAACTAAATAAGTAAAGTCAGAAACAATGAAAATAAATCGACAAAATTATTCCTGTGTGATACCTCACCTCATTTTTACTTTCATTTTTGTGCTTCTTGGATACTAATTAACAATGTAAAAAAAATTCAGAACAATTTTTTTTGTACACCATAAAAAAAAGGTACAGTATTTCATGTCAACATTTAACAGGTGAGCAGTGCAGGGGTTAAGTCCACTGGATAGTAACTGGATTTGACAAAATAGACAAGAATTTTTTTTTTAAACCTAACTGTGTGATAAGGAAACAAAGTCCAAGTTGGCAGGAAGTTAGAATTAAAGCGCAGAGAAGGAAAACCGGCAAACTAAGAAATAACAGAGAATTCAACAAGCAATGATAGAAAAAGTCAAAAGGACTGTCTAAATAAATTACTCTTGTTAAATTAATAAAGACATGAATTGTCATAGTTACCCAACTGAAAAGAAGTGATCTACACGGAAAACAAAGCACCTTTCTCTATACTGTACAAGGAAGCACAAATATTATCATTAAGTAGTTTATACAGTCAAATCTATAATTTTTTATACAAATGATGAAAATATTTTTATAATACATCTAGGTGGATGTAATGGACTTAACAAAATCCATGAAAAATTCTGCAATAATTTTTAATTGTTTGCTATGTGATGTTATTGTGTACCAGTAGCCTGTGATTATCATCAAATCATAATCAAATCATAAATTTACAATCAAATCATAAATCCTCACTCGGGGCACCAAACGGGTTGGACAAGTATATGAGTGGGATTGGGTGGTTATAGAATAGGAGCTGCCTCGTATGGGCCAATAGGCCTTCTGCAGTTACCTTTGATGTTCTTATGTTCTTATAATTTGGTCTTTCCCGCCAGTGTTTGAATCTATTTCTGGACGATGTTTCGAGACAGAATCTTAGCAATGGAGTAGGTTGCAAGAGACTCTACCTTTGAGCTTGTCAGGAGCAGATTTATGTGCAATATAAGTTTAAATATTACATTATAGGCCTATATAAAGTACTCAATCTTGTTTTTGCCAATTACTGTACTGTATACAGTATGTACAAAAATATAGTTATTCCATTATAGTGTAAATTACATCTAACTTGAACATCACCCTTACATGAGAAGTCAGCAAACTGCATCGATGTACAGTATGTCCATGGGCTCAGTGTTCACCCACCCGTCTTCATCCTGACTCGCACGAAACTAGAAAAGCCTTAAATATTTGTGTTTTCCCTACTTTCTAGCAGGGCTTAGTGGGTTCCTTAAGCTAACCATCTGGATACGTCTACACATCGTGTCATGTTTCGTCAGGAACTTGCGAGTCATTTACCAGAGACCAGAGACCCAAACCTGGTCTACTCAAAGTGGAACAAAGAGCAGGGGTATGCTAAATCAACCTAACCTAGAGAATAAGCCACCAAAAAGATAGAGCAAAACAAAATAAACAACCCTCCTACTGCTAGGTGGCATTCCTAGGAGCTTGGATCTTCATTTGTTCCTCACTTGTTCAGGGAGCAAAGCAACTTCCAATTTTTTTTTTACATCACTTAGATAATTACATGTGGTGGGAAAGCCACTCAGTAACGTGACAATGCCATTGCATGCTATTATGCTCAGTGCCATAATTAATGAGATTCCAATGGGAGTCAGCTCAGAAAGTAGGCAGGAAGCAGTTATTAGAATGTGATGATAAAAAAATTATATATAAATGTGAATTGTATGATAAAATAAATAATGAATATGTATAAATAATGTAATAACAAGTATAAAAACTCATAATTGGCAGCCTGACATTTGTGCATATGAACCAGTCATGTGCACAACTTTACTGAGTATTATTAATATTTATAAAAAATCTATGAGAATATTAATTACTCCACTTAAACATTAATTGCATATCAACAATAGTATTTTGTATATTTTTACTCTAGGTCTAGTCCAAACAGCCAACCAGGGCTGCTCAATTACTAATCCCTAAAATAAAGAAATTCCAATATACATCAAATAAAGCAAGGCATTTTGCCTTTTAAATATTTAACTCTTCTGAATACTGTACAGTACCTACAATACAAAGGCATACCATTTTGTAGTTTACAGATTAGAGATTGCATCTATGGTACCACTTAAGGTTTTCCATTGTGAGAGACAGGAAGTCTGCTAGGATTATTAAGGTCCTAAAACAGCCAATGGATGACCTTTCCCATGATGGAACCCATAACAGTTGCCTAACTCCCAAATACCCATTTTCTGCTAGGTAAACAGAGGCAGCGGGTATAAAGAAACATGCACAACATACTCACAAAAACTCAAAACACAGGATCATTCAGATGGGAGCTAACTGTGCAGAACACTGCTGTTAAAGTAATCTGCATTAAACGTTTAACATTTTGGTTGCGACACTAATTTTCATCTTTTTCCTAACAAAGTGTCTAAAAAAACACAATTTTGAAAATTGCACGTTTTGTTACATGTCTACCCAGTGAGCCTTTTTAGTCGCTTTAACATCAGCCGTCATCAGTCGATGACGTCAGACTGACGTTAAAGCGACCATAAATATCCTCTGGGTAACAGGATTTTTAGAACCCTGTTCTTTCAAGCTGTTCACTAAAAAAATACAAAGATGAATTATTGGTAAAAAAAAAAAAAAAAAAAATTAATTACAAGACAAAAATATAGTTTTAAAGTCTCAGTTTTCTAATAGATAATATGGACAAAGTAACTTATAAACCATAATACTATGTGTGTTTCCTTGAGGAAAGCGAGAGGGAGATTTGTGAGTACTGTCCTTAACAGTATGTGAGCTATGCTTGTGGTGTCCTGTTTTCCTAACAATCTTGGTCATATAACACTTTGAAACTACCTCCCTTTTAGTTTTACCCCCAATTAAACTTGTAAATATCTCCTAATTATTCTTATACATATATGGCCAAAATGCTCTGGGTCATAGTAGGATTATGTAGTGTACATTTCTTACTTACAAATTCTCCACTATATTGTGTATCAAGTATAGGCACTTTTGTATAAATAAAATTGTATTATTATGATGATGATGATAACGATGGTTTTAGTATGCACCACCTTCTCACTTAGCTTGTTTCAACCTTCTACAATTGTTTGCAAAAAGAGAGCTTTCATATGTTTTTTGGCACCTTTATTTCCTTTAGTTTGAATCATTGGCTTCTTGTTTTTGAAGTTGCAGTTTCAAAAATTCCTCCTTGTCTATTTTGTCAATTCCAGATACATAATACAGTATTTTGAATGCAGTGATCATATCACTATCTTCTAGCTTCTCCATATTTAACACCGCTAGCATCTTCTTGTAGCTCTTATTTTACACTTCTGGAACCCATATAGCAGCATCTCTGAACTTTTTCAGTTTACCGAAAGGCACCGTACAACTGATACATGATATTTTATGATATGGGCACCGTACAACTGCTCAATATTCTAATTTTGGTCTCACAAATATTGTGAACAATGTCTTTAATATGTGATCATTATTGTATCTAAAAGTATTTCTAATGTTGGAAAGTGTAGCATAGGTTTCTCATAGAGTGCCCTTTATGTGGTCCTCCGGTGACAGTTTATCCATGACCACTGGGTACTATCACATTTGCTTTCACATTTATGTATATGTATCTAACATTGAAGGAGATAATTTGTTTACTGCAACATTCACATGTGATTCAAAGGTAACTAATTACCCTAAAATGTTCTCATATAATTATGTGATTTTACTAAGGAGATTTATATGTATTTTCTATAAAGTGCTATTATGATTTTGGTTGTGGTATCATACACACAAAGACAAATAATATTGCTATTGCACAAGGTTACAGTCTAATGATCTAAAAATAATAATTACACAGTAACGTTTTTTTAATTGGTATTGCTTTCTTAACCACTGCACTGCACAGAGTGCCTTAAGGCACCGAACTGGGGATGTGCAGAGTGCCATATGGGACTTTTAGGTATAGGGAGTGATTCAAAAGTCCTGCGGGTACACGAGGTTCACATTCCGTGCCACAGGACTCCTGTAAACAAAAGCCACCTTGAAAAAATTCATCAGCATCCATACTGGCTGTAAGGGCCTCACACATGCAGCAGCAGCTCACAGTACAGCTGTGCAGCTAGGGGCCACAGCACCACTTAGTAATGATGAATAAAATAGGTAACTGCAATTATTTTGCATTGATAATGTCATAGATGATCCTGATTGTGATAAAGATTATGTACAGTGTTCAGATATCAATGAATACAATGCCAGTTATGTATTCATAGCGTGAGGTAGAGAGAGAGACAGCACCCAGCCACTGTTTCCTGCATCTACGCATCATGAAATGACCGCATGTTCCTTCACAATATAACCTTGTGGAAATGGATTGATATTCAGAATTTTGTGACAGGAATGTGGTAATAACAGCAGTTTTGTAGCTGGTCATATCGAGATGTGTAGAATATTGGAGGCATTGTCTTGCATCACGCAACTACTGGCATCATCTGCTAGTATCATGTGGCTCCATGCTGTGTTTTGATTTCATCACCATACCCACCAGAACTGTTTATTACTTTGTTATGGTGCATATCAATGTTGAAAGTGATATATATAATGTGTGTATATAGCGTAATAACAGCAAGAACACTGGTTGATCTAAGAATATAATATACCTGTCACCATACATGAGCCTCATCTTTTTGAGCATAGCGATGTTTCACACATTTAACTATATAAATTCCACAAATTACACACTAATGAATAATATTACTGCAAAAAACTAGATATAAAACCATTCAGACACTGAAATAATTATGTAAAAATGTTCCACCAAAAGTATTTACATGAAAATAATTTTGAAAAATTATATTTGCGGGAACTGCCGCCTCACGAGCGAGGCGAGCACATCAGGGCGCCTACTCCCTCAGCCCCATCATAGCTAAAGTATGTCACATACAATAATTGAGTTTAATTTCCCTTGATCAGAGACTGCATTTTAACAATACAAGATAAAATAATTTTGTCGAAACAATTTTTTGCGGCGCATGTCATATTATAATGCGCTGTAGTTAAGCAGTTAATGCATTATACTTCTTGGTAGTGAAACATATGCAGTTTTGCTTTCCCTGTTCGGTTTATATATAAAATATACAGCTTATATATATTTTTTTTTTGTCCTATCATCATGCAAACATTCACACTAAGTAAAAGATAAATCTCAAAATCTGTGGGGGCAAAATGCCACTAAGTGACTCCTGTGTACCTGCCAGGGTACATCATCCAGGGACTCCTGTGTACCTGCCAGGGTACCATCATCCAGGGACTCCTGTGTACCTGCCAGGGTACCATCATCCAGGGACTCCTGTGTACCTGCCAGGGTACATCATCCAGGGACTCCTGTGTACCTGCCAGGGTACCATCATCCAGGGACTCCTGTGTACCTGCCAGGGTACCATCATCCAGGGACTCCTGTGTACCTGCCAGGGTACATCATCCAGGGACTCCTGTGTACCTGCCAGGATACCATCATCCAGGGACTCCTGTGTACCTGCCAGGATACCATCATCCAGGGACTCCTGTGTACCTGCCAAGGTACCATCATCCAGGGACTCCTGTGTACCTGCCAGAGTACCATTATCCAGGGACTCCCGTGTACCTGCCAGGGTACCATCATCCAGGGACTCCTGTGTACAAGTGCACTTACCGTACAACCTAAGGTTAGACTGAGACCACGCACAACTGCCACAGCTTTCAAAGTAAGAAATCTGGATCATTTCCTCATTTCAGCTCATCAAATACATTTCTATTTCAACCATGAATTCTATCCGCATTATTATTTGAGATCAAGAACGGGTCCATCGGTGGGCAGTGAATCCTCTGGCCAATATGGAACATCTATTAGTGCAGATTGGACCAGGATCATATAAGAGAACATTTTAATGCATAGTGTGCCAATGCTTAAGCACTCAAGAGAGCTTTGGATAATGCTGCTGCATAGATTTATTAACATAATGGCAGTGTTAAAGTATTTGGCAGTTGTTTTCTCTCTCTTGATACACACATTAACCTTATAACTAATTCAGCTGGCATTTAATTTCAATAGAATTAAAACCATCTCATTTTTATAAGGATGCACTAATCAAATTTATTCTGGAATTGCTCATCAAATCCAGATCAGAACTTTCACCCCACCATATTAACCAACTTCATTAAATGCCCTTGTAATGCAAAGGGCTTCCTGAAGAAAAAATTAGATATCCTTCTGGACCAAGATTTCAGCCATCTCGAAGAATCAGCTTTAGCCCAGTGATAGGGTCCGGAGTACAGGTTCCACAATACCCTCCACATCGTCCAAGAATTCGCTGATTATCCTGAAATGGACCCCACCCCAAAAATAAGGAAAAGTATATTAGTTTCAATTAAATTCCATACCATGCTTCATTATTCAATTGCTTACAAGTAATCAAAGAGGCATCCATTTCCATCTTGAACATATTCTCATAATCCGATCTGAGCTATGAATATAAACTTAAGAAAAATATTTAAGCATTAATATAGAAAACCTGTTTTGCATTTCTTAGTTATGAAGTAACTTCATGTTTTGACTTTGTTTCCTTTGCTCTAACATTTTTTGGCAAACAAATATTCTAAACTTTGAAAGTTAATGAGGTGCCAGTGTGAGAATAATTACCTAAGTGTAGTTACAGACGAGAGCTATGCTCATGGTGTCCCATCTCTCTAGTACTCTTTGTCACAAGACACTTTGAAACTACTGATGGTTTTGGCCTCCACCACCTTGTCACATAACTTGTTCCAACCATATACCACTCTGTTTGCAAAAGTGAACTTCTAATTCATTTTGATGGCTCTCTTTCCTTAGTTTGAACTGATGTCATCTTGTTCATGAAGTTGCAGTTTTCAAAAATTCTTCTTTGTCAATATATGTTACTATGTTGTAAGTAGTGATTAAATTATCTCTCTTCTATCTACTAGCTATGGTATAATGAATGACTCTGATCTCTCATCATAGTCCTTAGTTTTTGAGTTTTGGGAGCCACTTGGTTGCAGGTCTTTGTGCTTTTTCCAGTTTATTGATGTGCTTCTTGAAATATGGGCACCATACAACTGCTTCATATTCTAACTTTGGTTTCAAAGGTCATGAACAATTTCTTTAATATTTTGTCATCTGTGTACTTAAAAGAGATTTTAAAGTTGGAAAGCATAGCAGACACTCCTCACACAATGTTCTTTATGTGGTCCTCAGATGACAGTTTTCTATCCACAACTACCCATAGATGTCTTTCTTTGTCAAAATTCTTTAAAGCTTTTTGCACAATTTGTAGGTTGTGTGTGTGGACTATTTTCTCCTACTCCACATTCCATAATATGGCATTTATTCAAATTAAATTCCATTTGCCAAGTGTGATGGGTATAGGGTGCATAATAAAGAAATGAAATGAAAAATGCCAAGTGTTGCTTCATACACTTAATTTGTCCAGGTCATTTTAAAAGGCATGACAACTGTTTAAGTTTTGTATCTTTTCTAGTAGCTTAGCGTCATCAGCAAACATGTTCATATACTACTGTATTCCTTCTTGTAGATCACTTATGTAGACATTGAACATTACTGGTGCAAGAACTGAACCCTGTGTGGTACTCCACTAGTGTCATTTCTCCAGTCTGATTCCTTGCCTCTGATTACTGCTCTCATTTTTCTGCCAGTTACAAAATTTATTATCAATGTTAGAAACCTCCCTGTCACTCCTCCAGTATGTTCAAGTTTCCAGAACAACCTCTGAAGTGGGACTCCATTGAAAGCCTTATTTTTAGGCTCAGATAAATGCAGTCAATCCAACCATCTCTTTCCTGTAAAATCTTTGTGGATATGCCTGATCGAAAACTGTACTGCCTGTCCAGGTGTTCCACCCATTTGGTTTTAATTAGTTTTCCAATGTTTTGATTACTATGCTTGTCAATGACACAAGTCTGTAATTATGAGGGTCTTTCCTGCTACCATTTTTGTCGACTGCAACTATGTTAGCCTTTTCCTGCATAACTGCCGAGTACACAAAGATGACTGAAAAAATCAATTTAAGTGGAATGCTGAGCTCAGGTGTGCATTCTCTCAGAACCCCAGGTGAAATTCCATCTGGGCCAACTGCTTTGTTCCTACTTAGCTCTAACATTTTTTTTTACTTTGTCTTAAGACTATGTGCAATATGTTATTCTCTGAAATTCACATTATGTCTGGTTCTCTGAAAATTTAATTTTTCACAAACACAATTGAAGTTGTTTGGTTTAGTTTGTTTGACTAGCATGGCAGTCAAAACACTAGAAAAAATAATTATTGTGAAACCAAATGGGTAGAACACCTGGAGAGAAATGATATAATAACAGACAGTAGGAACAAATTGAGAAGGTGGAGGATGTCAAAACCATCAGTAGTTTTAAAGCATTATATGACAAAAGTACCTGGAAGACATTACACCACGAGTATAGCTCTCATCCAGTAATTACAATTAGGTAATTATATCTATAGTACTTTTATCCAAGGTACATCTATACTAATTACATCTAAGGTACATAATATAGTACTTATATCTAAGTAATATCTATAGTACTTAAATCTAGTACATCTATTGTATATATTGCTAAGGCACATCTACAGTACTTACATCTAATCTATTTATATAATGTGCTGCATTTGTGCCTCTGGTTATCCAATTAGTTCGAGGGGAGACTGCCAGGGCTGTTCCAGCTAGATTGATTGAGAAGGCTCCCTGAGGACACATTGCCATGCTGAAGCAGTCACCAGCCTCTCCATACCGTACTAAACGACCATCAATAGCTCGAGCAAATGTGAAGTCATAGGCTGGTTAGTGGAACAGAAGATTTAATCATTAGTTCCCATTTTCAAGATAGTGTGTGTGTGTGTGTATATATATATATATATATATATATATATATATATATATATATATATATATATATATATATATATATATATATATATATATATATATATATATATATATATATATATATATATATATATATATATATATATATATATATATATATATATATATATATATATATATATATATATATATATATATATATATATATATATATATATATATATATATATATATATATATATATATATATATATATATATATATATATATATATATATATATATATATATAATTCTTAAGAAGATGGTGGCAATAAGGATCATAACCTTGCCAGCACTGCCAAGTGTGCCTGGCAACAGGCAAATGACTGACAAGTCAAAGATGGGAACAGAGTAGTTAGGTGCACGGCCACCTGGCAGTGAGCAGGCTAACTAACGAGTGTACTGCTTCACTTGGTGGTTTGTCTCAGTATCTTACACTCTATGTTTTGTTAACCAGATCTTCCCGATTGTCTGTATTTCTCACTCTCCTTTCATGTGGCTTTTTTATGGTTTGAGTGATTTACTACCCTCAAGCTCCTCTTTATGTCAGCCCTCAAACTGAAGACAATTGGATGTTCCCCAATCAGAAAATCACAAGGCCTCTAACGTCATAGCCACAGGGCCAGAGTGCCCCCATTGTAGGCAGGCTGGACAGTTGAAATACAGTACTAGAGCAGGGAGGACCTCAGCTAGGATAGGTTAGTGCTCCCTAAAATAAACAAGCCTAAGAAGACATTTGTGTATTTCTAAACTTCCTCCACAGCTGCAACAACCAACATGCCTTACAAACAAGAAGGTGCAATAGTTAGAGGTGGGGGGGGACCAGATTATGGCCTTGGGTCTTGGTAAGCTTATAATGATTAATAAGTGCCTGGTGTGGACTGAATGGGGTGACGCTATCCTGGTAGCTACCACCAGGAAGTCTCCAAGGACCCACCAAAAGAAGCATTTCATTACAATGCTGGTAGTAAATAGATTCCTGGGAGTTTGGCAACTTTTGTGGGTTACATCATTGGGGGGACCTCAGTAAGCTTAACAGGTTTCCAGTTTCAGATATGTAATTGGGAAATTTTATTACCAGATCAGAGTAGGGATAAATCCCTCCTGCCCTTAAACCCTGCACTGCTCACATGTTAACTGTGACACTCCTGTGGTGCACACACAAAAATTTGTTTATCTGAAAAAAATATTTTTTCTTTTTAAATTGTTAACACTTTCGTTCCTTTGGGATGTATACAATGTCCGTAATTAACTCTGCGGATGTTTGGGAGGGACATCTATGACGTCCGATTTTAATATATTTATTTGGTCAGTAATTTATGTGACCAAACATCATTTGGTGGTAAGTACAGCTTTTTTTCCCTGTATAAAATTGATATCATATTGAACAACATAGGACGAGAATTGAGGTGAGAATCCCACAAAGAGTAGACACATTTTAGTGATGGTGTGTGCTCACGGGTAACCCTCGGCCGATTTGTGAGTTTGGTGCAGGGTGGCATGCCAGGCTTTTGAACTTCATATGTATGTATCCATGTGCGGAATTCTATTGTGAACAAAAAGATATAAAAATTAATGACATAAGACAAAAATTGAAGGGAGAAAACTTAAAGGAGTGTACATATTTGAGTCTGATCTCACACTCACGGCCAACGCTTGGCTCACCCTGAGCTAGTCTAGGGAGCGTGCGATGGGGACGGGAAAGTGTTAATCAGCATCCAGGAAGTACAAAAATACAAGTAAAAAGTCTCAACCTTTTGTGACTTAGCTGTCAATTTGCATTTTTTTCAATTTGCAATGCAGAGAATTTGCATTTTTTCCGGTAGAAATGAGGTGAGGTGCTGCATGGAAATAACTTTGTCAATTTATTTTTATTGTTTCACACTTTATTTACTGTATTTAGGTTTTTGTTTTAACAAATAGTATTGATGTGTCAAAGGCGGTGTTCCTTATGTATAACTTTGAAACAAACACGTATGTACAGGTATACAGTATGTGTATAAATATATGCACACCATGTATTTATTCATACTAATGCATATATATCTAAGCCTAAATCTTATAAATGCACATAACACACATTTTGTCTGTAAATATATACGTAGCACTGTAATAGCTCATTTGTTATTGTGAGGTCTGTTGTTAAAAGTTCAGTGGCTCTTAGTATGGCCGCCTCACATGTTCACACACTGGATGGTAATGTTGCCAGACATGGTCCTCATCTTTTTACTAAGGCCCTAAAAGGAGAGTAAGGGACTTTATTTTTTTTTCTTCTACAGTTAGCTTAATTTTGATAAGAAATTACACCTTGGACTTAGTTTGACCTCACTTGTGCAAACTATATCGGTGATGCCAATTCCACGCATGGGATAGACTTTACATTTTATCCATGAGGTCCCTATAGCAACCCCTGAGGGCTAGTTTTTCCAATGCCACTGTAATGCACATGCAGACTTCTTTCTTAACCTCAACTAGAGAGTAGGGTTGCAAAATACCTTCTTAATAATGCTCAAGCACAATTAAGAACAAACCCATACTGACTAACCTTCATCTAACACAAACTCGAAAAAATACCATGAAGTTAATTTAAATTATCAGCAAAATAAAGTGATTATTCTTACTGTCAACAACTAGAGATGTGGTGTTGAGTCTTATTTTACTGAAAGACGTGTAGCCAGAGTGGTTGCTTTCAGTTTGCGTACAGTCACAACTAGTATGGCGTTCTCCCCCATGTGGACATGTGTCTGGGTGATTCAGGCTGTAACAGAAGAACATGGACTAATTAACTACAATTCAATACAATTTTAAGCCTTCAGAATAAAAATAACGTACCAAATGTAATAATCCTATTGATAGGAACTCTTATATAAATTGGTTTACCAAGGGCTCTATAGCCAAGGTTTAGGCTGTGTTCAGGTATTCAGTTCCTAGTTAGACCTAACAGTGTTTAACCTAACTAAGAGAAGCATACATAACCTTGTTCAGACAAGTTAAGCAATAAGTCCCACTGAATCTAGCCAGAAGCTGGATAGGGTACAATATGGTTAATAACCTGGCCTTGGCTAGGGAGAACTTGATAAACCAAATAACCTTTAAGAAAGCTCAGTTTTGCAAACAGAGTGGTAGACAGTTGAAACAAGTTAAGAGAGAAAGTGGAGGCCAAAACTATCAGTAGTTTGAAAGCGCTATATGACAAAGTGTGCTGGGAAGACGAGACACCACGAGTGTAGCTCTCATCCTGTAACTACACTTAGGTAATTACTTTACGTGAGAAGATGTGGATGCGAAAACCATAATTAGTTTCAAAGAGTCATATGTAAAAAATTATAGGTAAGACAGATCACTACAAGCATAGTTCTCATCCTGTAGCTACACTTAGATAATTACATTTAGGTAATTACACCACTCATCTGTTTCTAAAATTTTTGTTGCATCACTAACTCTTACACTGCTCCAATCACTTTCAAATGATTGGCTACTATGCTCCAATAACCTTGAGGCAATTTCTGCTACTGTACCTCCATAATATTTAAAGGTCCTGCTGATTCTATTGGGGGCTGTCATTTGACACTAGAGACCACATTTGCCATATTGGAAAATTAATGCTGAAAGCCTTAATTTTCTTCCTGGGCCTTAGTAAAAAAGATGTGCGCTATGTCTGGCACATCATCACATAGCCAATGAATGTGCAGTGTGACAACGCTGGGGTCCATTGACACCATATCAAATTGCAAGGACTTTGGAGGGTCTGGAATATCTTAGTGAAATATAGTACAAGTACAGTAGTTAACTAATATTATTTCCTTAGAATATGAAATAAGCTGCTCAGACAGCAAGGTAGAAGAGACTGGGGGATTATGGTGACTGACACGATGCTGCACTGACAAAACGTACTCTTTTTTTTTTTTTGAGTTGCCAATTGGATCATATTTTTTTGCAACAATATCTAATTCTGCTAAAAATGTGTTGATAGTGATTTTCTTGTTAGTTTTATCATGCTAGTGGTGACCATATGTAGGTGTTCATGGTGCAAGATAGTGTTAGCTTTGTTCGTGACTGTGGTGGAAAAAAGTTGTTGTCAAGTGGAGCTAATGCTTCACAAGTATTAAGTATGATGAAACTGGCAATTTTGTGATGTAATTATCTAAGTGTAGTTACAGGATGAGAGCTACGCTCGTGGTGTCCCGATGTAAACTGATCGTTGTGCCAGTGACGATCATTGTGCAAGCAATATAATACAATCGTGGTGGAGAGAAGTGTATTGTGCAGTGGAGCAAATTTCGTCACAAGATATGAAATTTGAAGGTTATGTTAAGTGTGGGTTGTATCGATTATGGAATTTTGAATAATGTCCATCAGAAGATGAAATAATTTTCTATTCCAGTCCAACCACTTGGGCTGGACAGTAGAGGGAGGGGAAATTATCAGGGGGTAAGTGCCAAGCCATTACAACTATATAGCACTTGGAAGGGATCTGGATAAGGATTTGGGATGGGACAGGGAAAATGTAGAGCGACGGTCTCGTTTCATGCAGGTCGGCGTTCAATCCCAACCATCCAAGTGGTTGGATACCATTCCTTAAACCCCCCCCCCCCCCGCCATCCCATCCCAAATCCTTATTTTGAACCCCTTCCACGTGCTATATAGTCATAATGGCTTGGCACTTTCCCCCCTGATAATTCCCTCCCTCCAGCAAGGGATCAATCAGATTCTGGAAGTGAGGGAGTGTGGTGACAAGCCAATTGAAATAAAGCCGTAGTATGATGCAGACACTCATTCTCTGAGTTGTAAGTTGGAGTAAACATTACAGCACTTAGTAACTACAAAATCTGATTCTGATGAAAATGTGTCTTTGTGATCTTGTTGTTAGTATTGCAGAGATAAAGAGTTTTTATGTTATTTGTAGTATGGTGAATATAAGTGTTCACAGTGCAAGGAAAACCCAATGCAAGTATGCCAACTAGTACCATGCATGATGCACCATATATACCTGGCCGTCTTTAGAAAGGAGTATTGTCTATGACATTATATTGACTACTTACCACTGAGAGTCAGGTTCAAAATGAAATGCTTTATGCACGAGAAAAAAAAAAAAAGAGAGCAAGGATCAGAAATGTATATTGGTGATGACATGTGGTGCAACAGAAGTGATGTGGAGTTGTGCTTTACCTTTTGACTTTTACTGGCTATCCCACTCTTTAACTTTTAAAAATAATGTCAATGATACTTATGCATTTATGCATATATTTGCTTGTAAAATGTGTGTTATGTACAACTGTAACCCTTCGTTTCATAAATATTAATATACAGTAAATAAATACAGGATGTGCATATACTGTAGTGATATGCATATACAGTATCTGTACATATGCATATTTCACACTATATGCACATTTCACACTATGTGAAAGATTAAAAACACACACACACACACACAAGAGTTTTTACATTCTTGTACAGCCACTAGTACGCATAGCATTTCGGGCACGTCCTTAATCCTATGTTCCCTGAATACGACTCCTTGAAAAATAGTTTAACAACGAAGTACCCATTTTACTGTTGAGTTAAACAGAGGCTACAATTAAGGATTTGCGCCCAGTAAATCCTCCCCGGCCAGGATACGAACCCAGGACAAAGCGCTCACGAAATGCCAGGGAAGTGTCATAACCACTACACCACGGGGAACTTTGTAGTTTAAACTGCTTGTAGGACTGCTGGGTCATGTATACAATGTACATAGCTATGTATGTACAGTATTCATATTTCACGATTAATGGGAATGGATTAAATTCGTAAGGTGAGGTACCACTGTAATAAAAATACAAAATTAAAGAGAGAATGTCTGTCTATCCATCTTAAGTTGGAGGGCAGATGTTTGGGGCTAGCCTCACTCAACTTTGTACAGGGATTGGCCTGGGGTACAGTTGGACATAAGCTGGTCAGAGTCAAACCAAGTTAAATGCTTTAAGAAACATTAACAATTATAGAGACCCGTATGTAGTTTTCATGTAAAGAAGTGTGTGAAATATTTGGTGTTTCCCCTAGAGTTTATAGTGCTTGTAATAATATATTTTCAGAGTTGTTTATTAATGATAAATTTTTTAAGAGAATGGGGAGGGGGAGAAGCTAGGGGTGATCATTATGTACAAAAATAGTAATTAAACTATGATCATTATGTACAAAATAGTAACATGAATCAACAAAATTGACAGTAGTTTCAAAGTGATATATGACAAAGAATACTGAGAAGACGGGACACCAAGAGTGTAGCTCTCTTCCTGTATCTACATTTAGGTAATTACATACACATCCCCAGAATGCAGCCAGTACCAGCTGTTTAACTCCCAGGTACCTATTTACTGCTAGGTGAACAGAAACAAGTGTGTATGAATGTATGTATGTGTGTACAAAGTTGGTTCGGGATGTCGTATTGGGTCCATTTATTTAATTGCTGTTCAGCCTGCTTTTTAAGGGTTTGGTGGGCTTCCTTCTTCATGATAAGTTGATGCTGTATGAGGTCTTGCCTATACCTCTAGGTGAATTCTGCATTACAGACTGCTGGGTCATGTATATAATGTACTGTACATAGTTATGTATGTATTCATATTTCATGTTCTTTGTTCCAAGTTCCATGTTCATATTTTATGTTCTGTTACATTTTTACATAATTTATAATGGGCCTTCTGCAGTTTTCCTTGTTCTCTTGTTGGGTGCAAATAGATGCCTCATATAGACCAATAAGCCTTCTGTAATACCTTTAATCTTATGGTATAATTCATTACAATGATATAGTTGTGAAAACTATATGAACATAATTGGTATACGTATCATATAATTATAATGGAATTACCACAATGGTATAGAAACATTTGTCACGATAACCACATTTGCATATTAAGCAATCATAAAACAATACCAGGATTTTTTCCATGAGTCTAGGTAAATTACACTACATCCAAACAGAGATATTATATCCATATTAGCATCACTGGTATGAAAACCATCCAATAACCCAGTGGGGAGCAATATCCCAGAGTGGCGTTGGTTCAACACTGAATCAACATTACCTACATTGATGACATTGATTTGGCATTGAATTGGTGCTGGTAAAAGTTAAAATCTGCATATGGTGATAACTACATTACATAGTAAACCAATGTATAACAATACCCACACTTTAAGGAATGATTCAACTGCAACCAAGTTCAACTAAACTTTCCACATCTTTACTAGTTTCACCCGTGTACACTTTTTCACGATTCCCGTAAGGAATTTTGTCACTACAACTGCATATAGAAATTAGTGATTTTTTGTATTAACCCTTAAACAGCGGCTATGGAAAAATGGTCATTCCTGCCAATGCACAATAATGTGAAAATTCCAACAAATAATTTTTCATTATAGAATTATTAATGTGTATAAAAACATGAAAATAAGTGAATATTTATTATTTCACTGGGTGGAGGTGCTCCGAGAGGCTGCGTCTGTCACTTGTCAACGCCTGATGCTCAACTTTGCTGACACTTCCCGTGTGATCCTCCACGTTTCACTGATTGTTTTATCACTTTTTTTTTCTTTATGTACATCCACAGAGAGCCTTTATATCCATATTTGCATCATACACGTAAAACCCAGACAATAATTGTTTAAATTATATGATGATGATCGCATTTCCCCTAGTAACATTCACGACAATAACCGCATTTGTACCATGAAATGGTAGCAGGATTTTTTCATGGGTTTAGGTAAACTACATTA